ATAAAATTTTACAACTTCTTACAAAAAGCTTCCAGATTTCATGTCATCATGGCATTACCAGTATTCATAATAAGAGCTGTTATTCGATATTGAGTCAAAAAAATTTTTAAATCACAAATACTCCAAGCCTTCACCAGTGACTTAGCTCCTCCTGTCTTCCCATCTATTTTTAGCTACACAAGTTACGAGTTACTGCCAACTCAACTTAAGAGACAAGGCAAGTGTAAAATTTGGTTTTGCTACCAAGACTGAGACATCACCTAGAATAGTCACTTTATGTTAGAGTATCACATTTTTCAAAACATGCAATTTGACATTGCATGCAAAAGTCAAAATTTTTTGTGCCTGCATTCCCATAGATATATTCATAACAGCTAATTTGCCCAAAATATGCATTCATCCAGGAAAGGGGGGGGGAAATCTCAAATCCAGTGTTCCTAGTGAACTTCCCCATCTCTTCCCACCTACACAATCCCAGCTGTTCAACAAGTCATTTATGTGTTTCAGTTTCCAGATCTACAGAATGCACATAGCTATGTGCAACTCACAAAGCTTGTCCTAAGAACTGAATGAAGCCTCTTGCAACATGAACATGCTGCCTGAGCCTCTGACTTTAATGTAAGCACAGAGAACAAATCATATGCTCAAGCTTGCAAAACACATATCTAAAGCAAGTATTAAGTGGGCACCCAGGGATATCACAGAACAGTGTGTATTTCCCAATCAGCAAAGACAGGTTTCTGGCTGAGGCAGATATTGCATCACACACGCAGTGCTCCAGCTTGGACAGAGGGGAAGGGTCACTTTGTTTCTTCTCTTCAAGAGTAAATCAGCCCAGTGGGATTGCTCGTGACTACAATCTCAGAATCTGAAGTAGGAAGATGTCACATGTTTAAGGCTGGGCTGAGATACATGGTGCATTCTGGGCTGCATTACTAGAGGACCATCAGGAAGGGTCCATTGTGAAAAATCAAAGGCTGACCATCACTAGAGGACCATGGGGAAGGGTCCATTGTGAATACCAAAACTGGGCATCAGCAGAAGACCATGGGGAAGAATCCATTGTGAAAACCAAAGGCTGGACATCAGTAGAGGACCATGGGGAAGAATCCATTGTGAAAACCAAAGGCTGGACATCAGTAGAGGACCATGGGGAAGAGTCCATTGTGAATGCCAAAGGCTGGACATCAGTAGAGGACCATGGGGAAGAGCCCACTGTAAACACCAATGGCTGGACATCAATAGAAGACATTGTTGTCCACTGTGAACAACTAAATCACCTTCCTACTGCGAATAAAACACTTTAAGGCAATGAAGACCATCTCAGAGCCTAGTAGGAAATACCCCAATAGCAAAGACCAAAATATGTCACTTCTGGCATCTGATAGCGCATAAAGATAGAATGAAGATCAACGTCTGTTCTACATCAATCTCAGAAATACCCTGATTAGAAAAAAAAATTAAATGTGCTTTGGTGTTCTGCCATGGGTGCCAGATCCCCTGGAATTGGTTACAGACAACTGCGAGCTGCCATGCGGGTGCTGGGGTTTGAACTCAGGTCCTCTGGAATAGCAGCTGGTGCTTTTAACTTCTGAGCCATTTCTCCAGCCCCTGATTGGAAATATGTTTAAAGAATTTTAAACATTAAAATGGAAGGCTAAGACCAGACACTAAAAGAAGCAAAACAAAGGAGAAATGAACCATTCTTAATAATTTTTTTAAAAAGTATCAGTGTTCTTTGGACAGATGGTTAGCCTCAAGTATGAAAGGGGAAATGGACATGGCACATGCCAGAGAGTCAAAAGGCCCCTAAGTGCACCTGGACCACGTGCAAAGTATGCAACACACAAGGACACACTGTGGAAAAGAGAACTTGCCGCAACAGACGAGGGTAAATGCATTAATTCTTAATGATACTGAGGAAAGAACAACGCTGGTTACCAGTGAAGACTGTCAGGATGTTAAAGTATCACTGTGATAAACACTGGGAAAATGGGATGATTTCCTCGTCTTTCCTACGCAGCCTGAATGCCAGGAAACTCAAAACAGTTCATAATAAAAAGCCCTTTATGGACAAATGTCCCCATCGATAAATGAAAGGGGAGTGGTGGGTTCAGACTAAAGTCACTAGGTGGAAGGTAGGCAGGAGGCAGGCCGACAGTCGATCCTCATTTCTCAAAAGGACATCCTGAAATGGCATTGGAACGTCCAGGTGTGTGCAAGTCTAAGACAGCACAGACGATACATCCTGCTATGTCAGATCTGAATATGACTCGAACCCTTCACCAACTGTGCAGTGCGTGAAGCTGCTTTGTTCCCGGTGAACTTCCACTAACTGAGGTCGCTCAGCTCCAATCTGGAGGTGTGGCCATGAGGCCTTCACATTAACATCAGTGTCCTGACCCAGGGGCTCCCAGTCAACCTCAGGTGTCCATCACCCCCCCCAACCAGCCTGGATATATTTTACTGTCCGTCTCTTCCTCTCAAACCCCTCCTTCTTGTGTTTATGCCTTCCATACAATTCTTATGTTGAAGCCCAAACCCTTATTGTGATGAAAATTGGGGGCGGGCGGGGGGTTGATGGAGACTGGCCAGTATTTAGATTATATTTCGCTATGAGAGTGGGACCCTCACGATAAGATTAGTGGCCTTATAATATATCAGGGTCTTATATCAGGGTCCTTCCTTTGACCCTGATGAAGAAAGGTCAGAGGAATGGGTAGAAGAAAATGGACCCCCAGCAAGGCAGAGCCCAATACAGACACAAAATCAGCCTGAACACTGAGCTTGGATTTGCCAGCTTTGGAGACTGTGAGAAAATAAACATCTCTTGATGTCTGGGGGCATTTTGTAGCAGCGGCTTGAGCTGCCTGACACAGGAACACATGATTTCACTTTGTTTTTCCTTCTTTCAAGCTCCTTCCAATCCCTTTGGTGGTGGTTCCAAAAATCACAACAGTGGTTATCCTAGTTAGTGTTTTCCAACTTGACACAAGCTATAGTCTTCTGGGAAGAGGACTTTCAATTGAGGAAATGTCTACATCAGAAGTCCTGAAGGCAAGTCTGCAGGGCATTTTCTTGATTTAGTGGTTGAAGTGGGAGGACCCTGCCCACTCTCGACAGTTGCACCACTGGGCAGGCTGAGCAAGCCATGGTGTAAGCCAGTAGGCAGCACTCCTCCGTGGCCTCTGCTTCATTCAGTTCCTGCCTCCAGGTTCCTGCCCTGAGCTCCTCCCTGGACCTCCCTCTTGATGAGCTGTAATCTCTAAGATGAAGTAAACCCTTTCTCCCAAGAGCTGCTTTCGGTGATGGGTGTTTTATCACATCAACAGAAAGCAAACTAAAATCGTCTCCTCCAAAACAGGAGGGCAAGGTTGTTGGAATAAGCCAGGTTGCAACACTGAAAAAGTTGACAGTCTTCTCCCAATTAAAGAGTGACATTCATTTAAGCTTGCAGAGAACTAATACCATGTACCATAATCACACACACACACACACACACACACACACACACACACGGAGTTGTTAAAGTTCATATTTAAAGGGCCAGCACGCTGAGTTGTCTGGAAAACAAGGGTCACACTTTGGCAAGGCGCACATCATCATCCCAGGAAACAAGAAACTGGAGTCGCTGTAGGTGAACACTGCCGGTAGATTAATGCGGAAACTTGGGCAATTCCTGTCACAGATCGCCCAGTTGCCCTCGTGTCTTCAGTATTCTGTGTCATGCAAAAGCAACTGTCAAGGATAATAGGAGCACAATCTGACCTACTTTCCCCTGGATTCTTGCAAAGCCTATAACTCTGGATCTTGTGTTTACTTAGCCTCCATATCCTGGGGCCATACTTCCTGGCTTTCTTTGCAAGCATCCTATATGCCACACAATCAAGATTACTGTGTGGGGGCAAGTCTGAAACTTTAATTTTTTTATTTCATTTTATTTTATTTTTTTGGTAATTGCATGAGGGAATCCTAAGAACACCCCTTTAAGTTGGCCCAAAGTAGAAAAACGCCTAGAAAGGAGAAGCCCAGAAAGGAGAAGCCCAGCCTGGAGAAGCAGAAGACCCGTATCACTTCAGATCCTTTCCCATTCACAAAAAGCTACAACGAAACAAATGTTTTCCCCAACCCTCAAGTTTCCCAAACAAACCAATGTCACAGGAGCTGCGAGTCTGCAACTGCGATCTACTTTCAAGGCAGATAAGATTTCTAGTCAAAAACCATCTACATTGTTGCAACTTCTCTGTAGGATGTACCAGGGTAGAAAAGTCTGTGAGAGCCTATTGGTGTCTTGAGGGCCTATTCGTGCATCCTGAGTGGCTTAAGGATCCCCAGGGTGACCAGCAGGCCCTCCTTTTCACAGAGAAAACATGCCTGGCCTGCTCAGGTAGTGAGGTGTATTTAGAACACAAGGAATGCTCCTACACCAGGAAGTCATATCTGAACACACCATCAAGGAAGTCGACATTCGAGAATCCCGAGGGTCCTACACTCTCCCACTCCAGGGGGCGTCCCGGAGTACTGAGCGCAGTCGGCCCCAGAACTCAGGAGCCAGAAGCTCACCCAAGCTCTTCCAACTCCTAAGTCTCGCCTTCAGCAGCGGAGGCAGCCAGGGCAGTCCCGATGCCCAGACATTGCTATGAGCCTCCCAAAACAAGCATGCACGTCGCAGGCAACCTGCAAACGGGACCCTCCGGGGGGGGAGGAGGGGGACTGAGACTTCTGTTGGACGGGGCTGGTTGACTCAAGTCACCGGACACCTGCAGCTTCCCCCTCAGAGGCAGCAAACAGCCCTTCTTCCGGTGATGCCCGGCTGCCCCTGGGTTCGGTCAGGTGCATCTGGGGAGAAGGGTAGCCGGCGCTGCCCGAGGGGCGCCCCCTAACCTCGCTTTCCCGGGGCCTCTCCAGTGGAGTCCCGCCACCTCCCCAACTTCCAGATCCCGGCGTCGCGGCCCCGCACGGCGGCTGGGGTCTCCCACGTGCGCGCCCGGGCCACTCACCCGGGCCCCGGCGGCGCTCCGCTTCCTCCGCAACGTGAGCCCGCTCCGCAGCAGCGCAGGCAGGTCCTTCAGGCGCGGCCGCAGAGACGCGGCGGGCGGCTCGCGCTCGGGCTCCCGGGCGCTCGGGCTGCGGCGCAGGGGTCCGTCGGCCAGGGCCGCCGAGGCCAGCGCCGGGCTCTCGCACGGTGGCTGCATCTTGACAGAGCCCACGGCCATCCTGATGCCCTGACGGCGGCAGCGGCGCCGGCGGCTGCTCTCCTCCTCCGCGCTCGCCTCCGCGCCTTCGCCAGGCAGCGAGAGGGCGCGACTGCGGCTCGGGCGCGGGACGCGCTGCCAGCCGCTGCCCATTGGCGCGCGCCCGGCCCCGGAGCCTCCTCGGCCCCGCGCGCCGCCCCGGCCCCGCCCAGGTGCTCCCCGCTCCGCCCTGCTGCTCACCTCTGGGCGGCCCGGACACTCCCACCCCACCGCCTGCGGAAGAGCCCCCCCCCTCCCCCCGGAGCGCACCGTGCTCCCCGTGCCTGCACAGGTGCGTCATTCCCAGACTCCTCCTCCCGGGCCCATCCTCTTGAGATTAAAAAGTCCCACTGCCCCCCCAGCCAGGACTGCCCTGACCTAACACCCAGAAAGCTAACAGGTCCTTTTCCCTCCCGCGCGTTTTGCACGGTCTAGCCCCACCGAAGAGTCTTTATCCTAGACTATGCAAAATGCTTCCCGGGACAGCATTGCCCCCTCGGTGGTCCCCGTGGGCATGCTCCTCGTGAAAGGGTGAACGGAGAAAACTTGTCGGTTTTGATGGCGTTTACCAAAGTAGTGCAAGTCTGGTGGCCCGAAGGTGAATCTCTGCTAACGTGTTGGAACCTGACCTACCCTGGAAGCCTTCTGCGCCTGATGAATGTGCCTGGTAAACTGTGAAGGCTTAGTGCGGTGTGAATCACAGCTTACACTATTCCAGGAGGTAGGAATTGTGGAGCGTTCGGGTGGAAAACCATTCCAGGAAGGTCTTCACCCCCAAGGGCGGTGGATGTTCCAACAAGGCCTTTTTACCCTTCATCACTGTGACTCTGGGACCTTTTTTTTTTTTTTTTTTTTTTTGTCTACAAGTGGCAAGAGTTGAAAAGGCTTGTTCACGTTTAAATCTTTTTAAATGACAAGGATTAAGAATATGAAGTCTGGGTTACTGGTGTGCCTCTCATAACAGGAGATGCTTGGCCAAGCGTACTGGGACCTGTGGCCAGGGTGGGAAAAGAGGGGGAGATCAGTGATCTCTGTCTTAAAGAAAGGGAAATTAACCCCGGGGGTGGGGTGGGGGGTGTATATAAACACTGGGAGAAAAAAAATCAGGTAGTGCCCGTCTGTCCTCTTGCTAATTGCCAAGTGAATGTACAATAACTCCGGAGAAGAGCAGCAAACCAAAGCAGGAAGAAGCCTGTGCTGTGCCTTCGGGCTGAGAGGAGAAGGTGAGAGACGGAAGGGAAACAGAACCCTTCAAGCAAGGAGATTTCAAATTGTGATAAAAAAGGGAAACCTCCCAGGTGATTGATGTCATGCAGAGCCTATTGGACACGGAGGCTGGAGAGACTCTGTCCTGTTAGAGGAGGATGACAGCATAGTGAAGAAGTAGAAGGAAAAATAGAATTTGTGCCGGAGAGTTACCACGGATGGCTCAGATTTTGCCACCTTGACTCAGCCACGCACTTTAAAGTCTGTTATGGCTCCCAAATGTCTAGGATGCAGATTTACCCAAGAATGAAAGCCCACGTGTACATGCCACATCAGGCTCTCTTGATTTTTATGTTAAAATGCTTAAGCTCCAGTGGGCACTTAGTCATTACCTTCCGTTCTCAGGTCTCACCTACTTCAGACTCCCCTCGACATGCCAGCTGAAGGGGGTTGGCACTTGGTTCGCACAAGCCCTCCAGGACACTTTTGGTTAACATTCACTCTGACGTGTGGGTGCTCCCGCTGAGTCCTCCACAAGAGTTGACATTTGAATTATCTATGAACTCACTCTGCTGCGAAAGGTAACGCATATGTTCTGTCTTCTAGTTGACATTCTTGGTCTTCGCAAGTCTTCATGCAGCTTTCCTTCCTTTGGCATTGGGTTTTGTTGTTGTTGTTTCTTTGTTTTATGGTTTTGTTTTGATTTTTTTTTTTAGACAGAGTCTCATGTATCCCAGACTGGCCTGGAACACACTATGTAACTGAGGATAACTTTGAACTCTCTGCTCTACTTTCTCTATCTTCCAAGTGCTAGGGTTACAGACATGCGCCACGAACACCCTGGTTCACGCAGTTTTCGGTGTAAGGCTCAGGAGTATGAAATTTATGACATAGATTCTATAGATTAGAACACGGCGTGGTGCATCTAAAGCATAGCATGAATAAGGACCCTTGGAAAGCTCGTTTAGGTTAAAGCAATAAATAGTAGAAGCCATGTGTCCTCAGCATAAAAGGGAGCAGGTATGAGGGGAGAAGATAGCTTGGTTGCTAACTCGATCGCCTTGCAAGCACAGGACCCAAGTTAGACCCTAAACACCTATGTTTTTTTTTAAGGGCAAGCCATAGGCACGCAGACATATTGTCACCCTCTTTTGATGCCAGTGCAGAAGATGTGGACAGGTAGATCCCTGAGGATTGCTGACCAGCCAGCCTTATCTAAAGGGGGCATGCTCCAGCAAAGTAAGAAACACCATATTTAAAAAAAAAAAAGTTAAGAATGGAATGTACCTGAGGACTGACAACCAAGGTTGTCCTCTGGCCTACATACACACACACATAGATGTGCATCTACACACGTGTGCATTTGTACACACATGAATACACACACACACACACACACACACAAGCTATCAGAAAGAGGGGGAATCTATAAATGGAAGATGTACTTTTTGGTCAAGATCACAGTGGCATCGCTGCCTGCTCCCTTCTGCCTAAAACACCTCTTCCCTCTGTAATGTCACACCGCAGCACTTGCTGCACTGAAAGGAATATTCTAGATCTGGGCTTTTCTTTTCCAGTCCTTTGAAACTTGTGCTTTGCTGAATGTTCACAATGTGGCAAGTGTGACCAGAGAACTAAATTTTAAACTTTATTCAATTTAAATCACATAAATTTAGAGAGCGGCATATGGCTACTGGCTATCCAATATGGTGCCATCCTAGAAATCCACGTCTCTCTTACCCAGCTCATTCCACTTCTTCTGTTCAAATGCCACCATTTCAGCGAGGCCTTCCCGTGGCCATGTGATACAGAGCTGCAGCCCTTTCCCAGCCTTTCCGTGGAGCCTGTTACCATCCAGCATTCTACATCATCAATTCCGCATGTTACACCGATTCAGTCTCTTCTTGCTGCCTCTCTGAAACTACAAATACACCCTACAGTGGCAGATTTTTTTCCTTTTGTTCAGTATGTTTGGCAGTAGATCACATTCACTGAATAACTGAATGCCTCCATGTGTAAGAGAACTCAGTTTTTCAAACAGATCCTTCCCCTGGGTTTGGTTTTTTTTTTAATGTAAAATCTGATTTTGTATTAGTGAAAGCTCTAAAATTATAGGTCCAGCCGGGCAGCGTTGGCGCACCACTTTGATCCCAGCACTCGGGAGGCAGAGACAGGCGGATCTCTGTGAGTTTGAAGCCAACCTGGTCTACTGAGCGAGTTCCAGGACAGCCTCCAAAACTATAGAGAAATGCTGTCTCAGAAAAAAAAAAGCAACAACAACAAAAAAAGCTTTAGATCCTGTGTGTAAAAACCCTACAGCATTCAAACAAGACCACTGGCCAGCCTTTTATCACTTTTTCTAAAAGATGATGGTTTTTACTTTGGAAATGACATCTTCAACCCTACACTTGTGGAAATGCCTGTAGTGAGAAACCACAAATTAGACAGGCTTTTGACAGTCAACAGAGACTGGAGAGCTGGGAGGTTGCCCTGACAGGGAGCTGTCTGTAACTGTTGAGAGAGGGGAACGAAATGACTGAGACGGGACAAAAGAAAAGATAGAAGATACAAAATCCCTTCCCATGGTGCCGCAGACCAAATTTTGCGAAGGTGACCATGGCATCGTCTCCTGTTGCCCCAGGTCTGCAGTGGGTCCTTGGCACACCCCCATGAGGACATGGATCTATTTCTCTAAACTCCCTTTCATTTGGACAGGCTTGGGAACGCTTTGGCCCATTGAGCTCCCGGGGATGATTTCACCAGTTCTTTAAATAGCCCTTAATTGGCCTGGCAGCCACCATTTCCTGTTGTCTCAGAACGCTCGTTCTTAGGATATGCCCACTCGGGAGTCAACCGCCTTGCTGTTTAAGGTGTGTAGAAAAACCCTACGTGGAAGCTGAACTCCCATGAAACAACATTATCAGTTGTTGGCTATCCATAAGCTGTTAGGGATGCCCAGCCCAGGCTAGTTTTGCAGTTGAGGGCAACCAAACTTGAGAAACCTAAGCAGGAACTTCCCAGCTGAGTACCCACAGCCACTGAAGGGTGTGGTAAAAGAATAAATTGTGTTAAAGCCTAAGTATAAAGGTATTTATTTCACAACTATTGATGGCCAGACACGTGGTCAAAACAGCATGTGATTAAAATAAGGAAATTTATTTGCGGAGAGGGAGGCACTTGCATAAAGAAATTATAGAAATGTCTTGCCTGGTGGGGTGGCACGTGTCCACAATGCCAGCTAGTTAGGAAGAAGGATTGTGCAGTCGGAGACAGTCTGAGCTATGCAGTAACCCTCTGTCTCGAAAAGCCAAAGGCTAACGGCGCAGCTCAGTGACCCCGTGTTCACCTGCAGCGTGCAAAGCCCTAGGTTCAATCCCTAAACTCAGGGGGAAATATTCTTGGAATTGGCCTAAAAGAGGGGAAAGACAGAAGACTTTTCTTGCTTAATTGTGCATATATGTGCGTATTTGTATATGGACATTTCCAGTGTATTGCCTAATCGAACAAAAAATTAATGGCACCCTATTCAGAGAAGTCAGGGAGATGGGGCAAGCCGGATTTGTGGGCTTTAGTTTATATAGCAGTTACGCCAGCTAAGTTAGAGGACACCTGAGTGAAACCCAGCCAGTGAGAGGACAGCAGGGAGGGGACTTGTGAGAAAGGACTAGAGATGTGTGTGTGTTTGAGTTCAGAAGCATGATGGCTGGGCACGAGGTGGACAGGCAGTTTGTAGAGAACATTCCACAGGTGACTTTTTGAATCCCTGGTTATATGAAATTCAAGACAGTGATTCTCATTACTTTTCCTCATTTAATTATACAGGTTTTCCTTTGTGTCCCACTGTTCCCTGCCCACCTGCTTGCCCTTGGTCACAATGCCTGTTGGGTTCATGGCTAGTTTAGCATCTTAGCTACCAGGACTTTGAAATGTCTTCCTTGTAGTGCAGTTTTCCTGCATGCCCAGTTTTGAAACTCGTCTCGCTGAAATATTTTACATTGTCATATCAGTTTTCAAAACTAAACATACATAAATTTCTCCTTTTACTCATCTGGGCCAGCATCCCAGCATGTAATGACCAAAATAGAGAAATCTGAGCCCGGTCTTGTGAGGATCAAAGCTGAGTAGGTAGGTGATCAGAAGACAGACTACTTCACACAAAATTCATTTCCCAAAGTGCCTGCCTTACCGAGAATGCCAGGGAGAACCATGTGTATACTCAACACTCTTGCTATTTTTGTGGGGTCTTTTTTTTTAATGCAATGAATATGCAATTGGGAGAAATGTAGCAAAATAACGAAACATGTTTCAGATCCAAAGTGTTAGGCTTGCTTTATTTTAGTTTTCAAGAATCGCAAATAGAAATGTCTGCCCTCACACTGCTCATGACACACCCGTGTGGTACAGCACTGTTTTTTTTTAATGTATCACCACGCACTATGCCTCATGCAAATATTCCCCTAAGGGGCGATAACGTTTCCATGTCCTATTGGCATCAGGGGCTCCAGTGAAAGGGAGCACCTGATAGGGACAGGTGCCAGGGTGGGTGTTGGTCCATCCACATGAGCTCATCTTCTGTTCACTGTACTCACAGTCTCGAAACAAAACCACTTTGTGCCTTTCCGTACACTGTGTGTGGCTGTCACCCTGCGGGGGGTGGGCACTTTTTAAGTTAGGTGTTCAAAGTCATCAGGCCCTCTTAGGCATGCAGGCATTTTTGCAACAACAGAAAAATAAAGGAACAAATAACCCACATAATCAAATACCCAGGATGATAAGAGAGTAATAGAAGAATTCTTGTAACCCACCAGACAGCAACCAATCCAGGCTAGTCCAGCCTGTCCTACCCTCTCCTCTCTGCTAAATGAAATCTATGAAATCCTTACACACACCAAAGGACACTTTCTCTTCAAAAGCCTTCTCTACTGTTCCTATTTGGGACTAACGCTTCCTCCAAAACAAAACAAAACAAAACAAAAACCAGTGATATTTACCTACACTGCTGCCCTAAGTGAAGAAAGGGAATACAGAGGTCTTGGCAGATGCAGATTCTCTAAGGCTGTGAGAAAATACGTTACCCCAAGGGTGATGGGAAGGCTATAAATGGACTCCAGATGGTGGCATGTTCAGATCGGCAGGGAAGGAAGATGATTTTTAGCATCAGTATATAAAGTGCCTTAGCACAGGGAGATGCTTAAACACGGGGAAGCCAACAAGACAGGCTGCAAGACCCTGGGCATGAAGTGTTAAAAAACTAATCCCCAAGATGCAATTAGCAGAAGCGGTTCCTATGCTTCTGGGGCACCTTGGTTGGCACATTCCATGAGCACTTTCTGTGAGGTAATGGCTGTAAGACTGTGAACTTCAAAGCACTGCACACATGGCCCTGTGTTTCTGCTAGGAGGGAAGGGAAGAGGCAGACAGCGAGCTGGAGAAGCAGAGCCGGAAATGGGAAAGGAGACAGGAAGCCCAAGGTCAGGCCACACAGACATTAAAGACCTTTTTATTTTGTATTTGTTTTGTAGAGTCCCCCCTGCCCACCCTTCCACCCCGTGTGTGTGTGTGTGTGTGTGTGTGTGTGTGTGTGTGTGTGTGTGTGTGTGTGTGGTAGGTACATGGTGGGCAGAGAATGGCCTTGAACTCACTATGTAGTCCAGGCTAGCCTCAAGGTTGGCATCAATCTTCCTGCCTTATCCTCCCAAATGCTAGGACTACAGATATGTGCCATCGTGACTTGTTCCCCAAAGTAAATAATATATAGTAGACACGGTGTGGTACATCTGTAATCCCAGCACTCCGGAAGCTGAGGCAGGAGGATCATGAGTTTCAGACCAGCCTGAGCTGTATAGCGAATGCTTGTCTTAATAAAATCTAGGAAGGATTGAGAGTGGCTGAGTTGTAGATCATTTACCTACTTGATATGAGACAGAGTTGGTCACCAATTGAAGGTGAGGTTTAAATAAGTTCACCAGACCCAAGATAAATGATAAATAGGTCTTCATTAGGGAAGCACTTGCATAGATAAGAGTAAATAAACCACTTCAGTCCCTGCCCTTTCAATGCTCTCTGCAACCCAAGAGAACTGGAGCCAGCCCCTCCTCTGCCTTATAATGTGTCATGTCTGTGCCTGAAACCACGCCCAAAGGGTGTGGTCACCACTACAAGTTCACTGGCAAGGTAAGATGTCATTACACCTACTATAAGTGCAAAGCCCAGGATTTTGATTGCCATCACCAGTTTTGTTTATTTATTTATTTTTTTATTCTTTAATGCTGCTAGAGATGATGCGGTAGCCCCATTTCTTCTCTGTTTTCATTTCCCACGGTTTCAGTTACCAGCGATTACATGTTCTGAAAAGATGAAATGGCAGATTCCAGAAGAAGTCCGTTTTCAAATGTCAAATTATGCACCTAGCATCCTGATGAAGTCTCAGGCTGTACCGCTGCATTTCCACTCTGGCTGAGTCTCCCTCCCTTCAGGACGCCCTGCTCATCCCACAATCACAGAGTAGACATCTAGCACCTCTTATGGATGTGTACATGAAGTGCTCCCATCCCAAGGGCCTAGCTGAAGTCTTGCTCCCAGCTAGCAACAGTGTGGAGAGATGAGCAGACTGAGGGCAATAACTTCATCAGTGGGTTGATCCACTAATGAGTTGGGTATTGAATGGGCTGTTAGGAAGTAGTCTCTGATCAGAGGTAGTCTGTGTCTGTCTGTGTCTGTCTGTCTGTCTGTCTGTCTGTCTCCCCTCTCCCCCTGGTCCCTTCCAGCCTCTGCCTTTTGAGATTCTGCCTCACCACAGCCAGAAACAATGGAACTAGGTAGCTGTCAACCAAAGTCATGAGTCAAGAAACATTCCCCCTCCTCCTTGAAGTTGATTTGCTCAGGTGTTTCCGTCACTGTGATACAAAGTAACCAGCCTACGTAGGGATTTCTTGGCTACCAAATGAACTGTTGCTACGCCACAGAGCTCCTGTCCAAGTAACCCTTATTTCACTTGACACATTGAACTGTTCTGTGTTGCTGTCACTCTTCCTACTGTGCCTACTCTGTTAAGTTTCTCATGGGGAAAAAAATCATATCCATAGGGTTTGCAATATCCATAGTTTTAGTTATCTGCTGGGGATCCAGGAACCATATTCCCCATAGATAAGCAGGCACCACCGTGTGCACCTTCATGCTCATTAATGCTAAGCATCTGTGACAACTAACCAAAGTCAGGCATAGAATAAGCCCTGAGCAAACCTATCTCAGAGGATGCTGGATTTTTGTTTTTAATATGAGCTCAAATGACTTATGAAGATGCTGATAAAGAGGTATAAATTTGGATCAGAGAACACTGGCAACAGCAGGTCTTCAAGCTCTTTAGCTGGAAGAGACAACACCTAAGGAAGTGGTTTTCAGATGTTATGAATAGGATGACGGGGAACTGAAGTTACCCTATACAGAGTAACTACCAGTGGACACTACAGGAAAAAAAATGCTTTCTCTCAACACCGAAAGTCTTTTCTGTCCACTGAAGGGCTGCTGAAGCCAAGAATGGCTGCTGTGCTTGTCACACGGAGAGGTTAGAGTAAACTCAGTAGGACTATGTTTCATCAGCTGGAGGACTGAACTAGCTGATCTTTGACACTGTTTGTAATCAAAGATACAGTGATTTAGCTCGGTGCACGGGAAGGTGTAGGGAGCAACCTGCCCCGCCATCCGCCTGGGCCCTGCCACAATTGAAGTCCCCAAATAAGACACAAGACGCTGCATTAATTATGAAGCTGTTGGCTGTTAGCTTGATTTCTTAATGGCTGTCTCTGACTTAAGTATTTACTCCATAATTGTTAATCTAAGTATTTCTCTTACCGGAGAAAGGGTCCAGACTTCTTACCCCTATGGCAGCTATATGGTGACTCCCTGTGTTTCTCCTTCCCAGAATCCTGCTCGACTCCTAGTCCCACCTATCTTACTTCCCTATTGGCCCACATATACACAGGACTTCCCCATCAGAAGGGTCTTAGAGGTCAGAAGTCTCAGTGTGGTCTAGGCACACTACGGTTGTTCACAACACTTTGAAGGGTTCGGAGTGGGACTTTAAAAACATATTAGGCTGATGATACAGGGTAAAGAGGGTTGCTTCTAAACCCAATGATCTGAATTTGGTCCCAGGAACCTACTTGATGAAGAGAGAGAGAGAGAACCAGCTCCAAGTTGTCCTATGACTTCCATTCGTGACAAGTGCGCAGCTCCCCAATGTAAAGGAAGGAAGGAAAGAGAAAATCAGCCACCAATCCCTTTTCTTCTTTTCTCTCTTTTTTTTTTTCTTTTGCAATGCTAGAGGGCAAACCCTGGGCCTTACACAATCCGGGGCAAATTGTTCTACCCCTCTAAGCTGTATTCCCAACCCTCAACCATTTCCTTGTTATACTAAGATGTCATCTGCACCTTTGCTCTCATTCTCTCACGAGTACAAGCAGTGTTGCGACAGACATAACACAGGAACTGTGTCTATTCAGACAGGCATGAGAAAAATTAGCAAAATAAAAAACACAGCGCCTCTACATTCACTAAGTTTGGTTTTGTTTTAGAAAACACTGGGCTTCCCCCCCTGTATAATATTTGTATGTTAGCTTACCACTGGTTTATTAAACAAATAAATAATGTTTTTTTTTGTTTTGAACTTTAAAGTGGTAAATGTCCATTGCTAGAAACCACATAAAACCTCTTTGGGGTCCTATATAATTAAAAAAAATGTAACGGGTTACTGACCCCAAATAATGGAGAACCACCATTGTAAGGTATAGTTTTAAAATCCTTCACTAATCTAAAACCAGAGGAGACCGGAGCGGCATCCGATGGGCCTCCCTTCCAAGTCCAGGGATTTCTTCTCTCTAACCATGCGCCCTTGCTTTCCTATGGTTCTCTTCTGCTTCGGTTCCTTATCTGTGTGCTTTGTTATGGAATAATGCTGCCAGGCTGTTGAGATTAGACAAAACACGCGGAGTGCGGTGCCTCCTAAGCTGCAGTTGGTGTTTCTGCGGACAGAGCTGTTTTGCTTTAACTCCCCGGAGCTCCGGGGAAGCGGCATAACCTGATGGGCAAACTTGTGTGGCATTCGGATTTCTACCAACCCTTCTTTCCTCACTTGCCTCCTGCTCTGGGCAAACCCCAAACCTGCAGACAGGTTATTCCTGAAGAGCCTTCTTTACCGCCAGGCGCCCAGGAAGACCTCTCCGGCCCCGACCTCCTTCCTGTTCCAAACCCGGCAGTGAGGAGTAAAGTCATCCAGAAACATGGAACCGAGAAACCTAGGTCAAGGCTCCCATGGGTGAGGAATTATTAACTCTTTGACCTTAGCCCAGCACGTCACCTCTCTGCCTGTTTCCTTGTCCATAAAATAAGGATAATAAAAGGCGATGTACAGGTGGTTTTAAAGGCTAAAGTCAACAGTGCTGTGGAAACACCCGCAAACTGGAAGAATGTGCATGAGTGCCAGCTGCTAATAGCTCTCGCCTCAGCCACGTTCAGAAATGGTAGGGGCTGAAAATAAAAAAGATAAGCACACTCCTGCATACATGCCTGTTGGCTATTCACGTGCAAGTTGCATGTATTTTTACAGGCACATAAACTTTGTGAAGGGGTTTTCAGTAATCTTTCTGATTTATGTTTCTCTAGAGCTCTCTATACCAAGCCCGGCAAACACTAAGTCTTGTGTCAATGTTTTACTTCTAAATAAACCTCACTTAATGATGTTTTATTGATATGAGCAGCAGTAAAGAATTTTCTCTAAACCTGTAAAGTGGTGCTCGCCCGAACCACCTGGTCCCCTGGGAAGCAGAGCTATTAGAACAATCGTCTGAAGAGGCAACCATTCCTAACTCCAGTTTAACAAGGTGTTAAATATTTTTTTAATCTGCTGCAGACACTCTTTTTATGTCTGTTTGTTTAGAACTGGGAAGAACTGTTAGTCAGAAGGTTTCTGTTTATTTCTGGCAAAATATCAAAGCCATCAATGTCAAAAGTCCAAAGACTCTGACTCAGTTCTCCAGGCTGGGGCAAGTCACGATTGGCTGGAGCTCACAGGGCTGTCTGCATGAGTTGTTGATTCCTCCTAGACTGTGAACTTCCTAGGGACTAATGTCACTCCTTCTTGGCTTTGCAAAAATCTTTCATTACTTACAGCATGGCTTTCTGTACTGTGAACATTATCCCAAACTCTAATTTTATAATTCCAATCAAAACTGATGGATAGTACTTGACTTTTTTAGTAGACTTGAAACATTCTTGCAGAAACCTTTTTGGGTTTTTGTTGTTGTTGTTTGTTTGTTTTTGATTCATGTTTTTTCTATTTACATTAGAAACAAGCTTATTTTACACGTCAATCCCGGTTCCCTTTCCCTCCCCTCCTCCTCAGCTCCCCAGGGAGGGTGAAGCCTTCCATAGGGGACCTTCAAGGTTTGTCATATCATTTGGAGCAAGGCCTAGACACTCCCTGGTGTGTCTAGGCTGAGAGAGTATCCCTCTGTGTGGAGTGGGCTCCCAAAGTCCATTCGTGTTCTAGGGATAAATACTGATCCACTACTAGAGTCCATATATATTAACCTCCAAACTGGCATCCACGTTCAGGGGGTCTGGGACCATCCTATGCTGGCTTCCCAGCTATCCCATGAGCTCCTCCTTGTTCAGGTCAGCTGTCTCTGTGGGTTTCTCCAGTCTGGTTTTGACCTCTTTGCTTATCACTCCTCCCTCTCTGCAACTGAATTCCAGAGTTCAGCTCAATGGTTAGGAGTGGGTGTCAGCTTCTGTTTCTATCAGCTACTGAATGAAGGCTTATGTTTGTCTTTTTGTGACTGGGTTACTCACTCAAGATGGTTTCTTCTAGTATTATCCACTTGCCTGCAAATTTTAAGATTCCATTGCTTTTTTCCACTGAGTAGTACTCCATTGTGTAAATGTACCACATTTTCTATCCACTCTTCAGTTGAGGGGCATCTAGGTCACCTCCAGGTTCTGGCTATTACAAATAATGCTGCTAGGGACATGGTTGAACAGATGTCCTGGTTGTATGAATGTGCATCTTTTGGGTATATGGCTAAGAGTATAATTGCTGGGTCTTGTAGTAGACTGATTGCCATTTTCCAGAGGAATTTCCATACTGATTTCCATAGTGGCTGTACAAGTCGGCAGTCGGCACTCCCACCAGCAGTGAAGGAGTGTTCCCCTTTCTCCACATCCTCTCCAGGAGAAACCTTTTTGTAACAGAGTAGAGTCACATGCTTTACCTAAACAGGAAACTCGGAAGATCAGCAAAGCTTATTATCTGTAAAGTTTCAGTTCTCTTCCTCAAGATACAATGTAGACAGGAGAAAAGAAGATAAAATAAACCAGAGAGAGCAGAGGAAAACAGGGATGGTTGGGGAAACATTGCTACAAGTGTTGCCTTCCTCTGCACCTCCCTTTATGAGTTCTAACCTCACACAAGCTTCTCTTGAGGCCAGGCTGGCTGGAGTCAGTTTTCTCTCTGCCTTTTACCAGGTGTGGAAATTGATTGGGGTGTTATCTTTGACCTCTGTGCCTCATTTGCAAAATAAAGATAATAGGAACTGCCTTACGCAATTATTTCAGAAGATATGTAATATATATTGTATATAATTTATTATACACACACACACGCACACACACACACACACACATTTATTTGTGCTGGCACAGCCAGGAACATACTCATATCCATATCCGTGATTATTTTCCTCATTCACTCCATCCCGAGGAGCGTGAGCTTGTGAAATTCTGTGGTTATGTTTTTTGGTTTTTTTTTTAATGCCTGTGAATTTTTTTCAGATGAGGGAGACATGAGCTTCACCAGATTTTTCAAAGTAGGTGATCCAATAAGGAAATCTACAGCATCTATAGGGTTTATAGCATCAGGGAAGGGGAGAACCCAACTTCCTAGATGGAGCCTGTACAAGCAGAACAGAAGACAGCTGTAGGTTGCTCCATCTAGACAGAGGCCTCTGCTGTAGGTGAATCCACAGTTTGAAAGGTTGCTTCTTGTCTCAGAGGATGTCTAAGGAGATTCCCACCACCAACGTTGAAAGATTGAATCTGGAAATGGAAGAAATTATACTCCTACCTGTCCGTCTGTGTTGGAAGGGTCTGAACAATGGAAATTCAACATATCGCTTCATCCTAAAATACTCTGAAGCGACAATCAGTACAGGTTCAGATATGAGCGTTTAAGTCAAGAAAGCAAGGAAGATGGTGTTTTCAGGAGGCTACCTCATTTTCTGTCTCAGTGCTGCCTCTGTTGAGAAGCAGGAGAGATCATCCAAGAAGAGAGAGGAGGGGGAGGGGGAGGGGAAAGAGGAAGAGGGAGAGAGGGGCGGGGGAGGGGGGAGAGGGAAGAGACAAATGGGATGGCAATGCTCTGTTAGTGTTAGATGGTTCTTAGTGACTGGTTGGTATGCACTTGGAATAATTTCCTGCCATAACAACAGGTAATCCTCAAGCAACTTCAATCCCTAACAAGAGGGCAGAGCTGCAGCTTGTCTGCCTTGCTATTTGCATATTAATAACCCTGAAAAGACTAAAAAATAATTGAAGCCACCTTGTTTGAAACCTACTTTATTATCCTCAGTTTTAAGTGACTGATTCTGTCTTATGTCTGGATTGTGACAGCTTCATGGAATGGGGCTTGCTGGTCCAGAGCTCTCACCGCTTTCTTGTTCACGCCGCACATCGCTGGAGTCAAACTAGATATCATGTTCATTTTGTCTCAGGGATGACAGCAACAGGTTTTTTTTTCTGATTTAATCACAGCACATGTCCATTAACTAATCAGACAATATATACAGAACCCTAACTCTGTCTTGTGCTCAGCCCTGTGGTACCTACAAATGTGGATGACAGAGTCCATTCTCAGAATTCTAATTGGGAGAGTCAGAATAATAACACACACAAAAGGGAGGAAACTGGCAGTGGGGATGTTGGTGCAGTACCCACCTGACACACACAAAGCCGTGGACTCAGCCCTCAACACGGCAAAGACTTGGCACAGTGCTGTATACTTGCAATCCCAGGACTCTGGAGATAGAGGCAGGAGGGTCAGTAAGAAAGTCAAGATCATTGTTAACTACCTAGTGTTTGAGACAAGCCAAACTGGAATATATGAGAGCTTACCCCCCACCCCGCCCCAAATAAGCAAGGGTGAAGGGGACTGGAGAGGCGGTTCAATGGGTAAAAAGCTTGCTGAATGAACATAAAGGCCTGAGTTTGTAAACCCAGCGCCTACACAAAAGGCATATGTTTGTAGCGTTGGTGCCATAGGATTGGTAGGTCTTATGAGTGCTAGTTGGCTGAAGCAACAAGCACTAGGTTCATTGAAGAGACTCAAAGAACAGCAGGAGAAGAATAAGAGAAAAATCACCTGATGTTGCCGTGTGGCCCTCACGTGCACAATACCCTGCACACACAATTGCATGCAAGCATAAACTATACACACAAAACAGAAGGAGAAGGAGCAGGAAAGGAAAGGACAGAGGAAGAAGGAAAAGGGAAGGAAGGAAATAAAAGAAGGAAGCTATAGTGTGCTGTGATGGCAAGGTGAGGATCTGGATTTGGACCATGTGCAGCAGGGGAGTTCTTCTTCTTCTTCTTCTTCTTCTTCTTCTTCTTCTTCTTCTTCTTCTTCTTCTTCTTCTTCTTCCTCCTCCTCCTCCTCCTCCTCTTCCTCTTCTTCCTCCTCTCCCTCTCTCTCCTCCTCTTCCTCTTCTTCCTCCTCTCCCTCTCCCTCCTCCTCCTCTTCCTCCTCCTCCTCCTCCTTCTTTTTGGTTTTTCAAGACAGGGTTTCTCTGTGTAGCCTTGGTTGTTCTGGAACTTGCTCTGTAGACCAGGCTGGCCTCGAACTCTCAGAGATTTGCCTGCCTCTGCCTCCTGAGTGCTGCCATAAGAGGCATTCACCACCACCACTGCCAGCCAAGGGCATCCTTATGAGGAGCTGTTTGGGGAGTAAGAGTTTGAGGGAACAATGGGAGTTCTCAGATGAGGAAGCCACCCCAGGTAAGCTACATATCAAAATAGAAGGATTCAGACAGGGAATGAATGGGAAAACAGAATCAGGGGGAAAGCAATGACTATGCTGCCTCTTGCTCAACCCCAGGGGGATGCCAGGTTAGGTGATAAGCTGTGTGATGCTCTTTGCTATTTGGCAGAGTTTAACCTGTAAAATACGACATCGATTGGTCCTAAAAATTATCGAGGCTTGTTCATGGGTCACGGGAAATGCAAACCATGGTGGATAATGAAAATTTGTCCTGAGGTATAGGGCTATCAAGATTTCAGAGGGACTTAAAGCCAGTCAAAGCACATTAGAAGATAGGAGGGGAGCCACTGAGACTAGGCAATTCTGAGCCAGGGAGTGACATGCTAAGGGCAGGCATTAGGGTGGCCAGCCAAGAATCAGGAAGCAGAGCTGTCTAGAACATGGAGAATTAGCATCAAGAAGGACAGGTTAGGGGCAGGGGAGGGGGGCGGAGAATACAGTGATTCTGGGGAGGCAACATAAACTACAAAACAGCACAGGCTACAAAAAAGTCAAAGTTGGGGTGGAGGAGAAGAGTGGAGATACACAGAAGCAACCATGCCCTACTTAAGATTATATGGGGTGCAAGAGAGAGAATCAAAGAGTTGAATGGCAAGATTGTTGCCTAATAAATGCTTTTGTCTTGGCTGAAACAAAAGCCAACATTAAAAACTTTAGGAAACAAAGTTTGGAAAAACAAATAAGGCATGTTGTGACTCCCAGTTTACTTAGCCTCGACTCTGAACTAATTCCCTAGCAGTTGCTAGGAGACATTTTCTTACTCAACATGTATAATCTACAGACAGTACCAACTAAAATCCTTGTCACTCTGTAGAATTACACACTTCAAACAAGTTCATTCAAATGCAATGGTTGACTTACATGGGGCAGATGTGCTCAGCCTGATCTAAAAGCTAATTATTTTTATTCTTTATTTATTTTTCACATTCCAATCCCAGTTCCCCAACCCTCCTTGCCTTCCCCCCTCCTCCCATCTGCTCCACCGAGAGGATAAGGCCTCCCCTAGGAAGTCTACTAAGTCTGTCCCATCTTCTAGTTGAGGCAGAACCAAGGCACCTCTTCACCCCCACCCCCCCTGGGTCTCCATACCACATAGAGTGGGTTCCACTAAGTCAGTTTGTGCATTATTGTTAGATCTTGGACTCACTGCCAGTGGACTCAGATATTGTCCCAGTCACACCACTGTCACTTACATTAAGGGAATCTAGTTTGGTCTTATGCAGGTTCCCCATTTGTCAGACCTGAGTCAGTGATCTTTCACTAGCTTTGGCCAGCTGTAAAATCTAATTCTTTAATGGATCATAGGGAGGGCTTTTCTGGATCCTTAGAGAGAAGATACTAGAACAGCATGCACTTTTATTTCCTCTTCACTGGTGAGTGAGCAGAGGGCAAATATTTGTCTGTGTGATGCATGCAGCGTATGAGAGGCACCGACTCTCGCTTTAGTTTGCTCTTCAGTGTTCGTGGCACAGAGGACAGAATCTGGTGCCTTGTGCACACCCAGCTAAAAGTCAACCACTGAGCTGCACACCAGCTATAAGCCACAGCCCTTTAAAGTTCCATCTTTGGCCTTTCACCCTGTAGTGAAGGCCGTGCTGACTAAAGCCATGCTGGCAGACCCCTCTACGTTGCCTACCAAACCCCTAAGGCTGAGATACCTCTTAGGGTTTATGCACCAATACAAAAATTCAACAAGGATGCAATGGAGGTGGTCTTCTATGACAGAAGGAGCAAGGACAAATACTCTCACCAGCAGAACACAAGATGATTCGACTGTGTGATCATCAAGGTTCTTCTAGCTTACCTGGGATCACTGCCCGGTGCTGTCTTACTCCCAATGCTGTCCCACAACAAGAAGTTCAACTAACACTGTTCCTAAGACGTTGGGCCTGGTAGTCTCTCTACAGACTCAACCCCCACCCCAGATAAATCAAGCTTTGCAGCAGACCTCCCCCCCTGTGTGGGACAGTCACTACTGTTCTCAGCTGCATACTCCAGGATAGCCAGACCACAGGCTTCCAGTCTCAGCTTAGGAGCACTGAGATCACACATGTATATGTTACAGCACCAAGAGTAACATGGGTTATGGGGTTCAAACTCAGTTCTTCCTGTTGGGGCATCTGGTGCTTTAGCCATTGAGCCGTCTTTCCTGCCCCATAAAAGAATTCTTTTGAGCTCTTCAGGAACCAGTAGATATACAATAATTCTGGATACCCTGGCCCTCCCAGTTGTTTTCTGAAAGCCAGGGACAGAATAGTACATGGGACCCATGGGAGAGGAAGTCCTTCTGTGTATATGTTTGTCTTCTTGGTTGATAAATAAAGCACTGTTGGCCAATAGGGAAGCAAGATAGGCAGGACTAGGGGTCGATGAGGATTCTGGGAAATGTAGTCAAGAGAAGAGAGTTGCCGTGCAATCCTGGCAATCTTGGTAAGAGAAGACCTTATAGAAATATATATTAGTAGTCATGGTTAATACGTGAGACAGAACTAGCCAATGAGCAGCCCTGGACATTGGCATTGTAACTAATAGAGTCTCTGTGGGTTATTTTGGGGGATAAAGCAGCAACGGGAGCCCAGGCAGGAATCCTGTAATGTGGGACAGATCTCTTCCCAGTGCAGAAGGAAAGTGACACCAGCAAAACAACCCTTGTGAAGTAAACCTTATCTCCCAAGTTTCCTCTCCACAGGATGTGCCCTGGCTCAAATTCCTCAACCTTGTCACCTTTTTGTAATTTACTATCCTTTGCCCAAGTCAGTATCTAAGCATCCACCCCTAACTGCTTCCTTTGGGTGTCTGACTCCTTATAAAGTCTCCTGATCAAGTAAAGCATCTAGTAAGTGATTTCTGGTTTTCTCTGCCTTGGCGGTCTTTTGATTACAGGGGTTTCTAGACCTAGAAGAACTAAGAGCAATGGCTTCTTTCCCCCTGTCTACACTGGCTAAGACACCTACAGCAAAAAGCCACAGACTTTGTGGCTTAGAAGACGTTTATCTCCCACAGTTCTAGAGCCTAGACGTCCAAAATTAAGATGTCGACACCTTGGTTTCTCCTGAGGCCTCTCTTCTGCCTGCAAATAGCCTCTGTCTTCGGGCATGCTTTCTGGATGTTGCAAGATGTGCCCACACACTCGTCAGACTGGATTAGGGTCCTCCCACATGACCTCATTCAACCTCCATTGCCTCCAAAAGCATTGTTTCAACACATTCATACGCAGCATATGAACTTGGGGAGGAGTTAAAATTCAACCTGTAATAGAGAATTATCGTTCACATTCCTCATTTTACTATGTGCAGGTTTCTATTATGAAGCAGGATGCTTATTAACTAGGTTCAGTAAGAATACATGCTCAACTGCTGTCTTAAGTTAACAGCAACCTTTTTTTGTTGTTGTTATTGTTTTTTGAGACAGGGTTTCTCCATGTAGCTCTGGAGGCTGTCCTGGAACTCACTCTGGAGACCAGGCGACCTTGAGCTCACTGAGATCCACCTGCCTCTGCCTCTCAAGTGCTGGGATTAAAGACATGCACCACCACCAGCTGGCAGCAGCAACCTTTTGTGAGTCCTTCATGACCCCAATCTATAATGTAAGGTCACTGACAATGGGCCCCCAAATTTGGTAAACACATCTTGGCTCTACTAACACATCTACCCCTTGAGGGACTCATGCCAATTACTGTAAGAGCTGGTCTCCACTGACTGCATCAGCAGGCACACTAGGCACCACCTGATTCCTATAGTTAGGTAATTATTCCCATTTAGCAGATGAGAAAACTGAGGGTTAGAGAAGCATTGCAATTGTACTTCTAAGCCCTCATTAATGCAACCGAGCCTGTCTCCTAACTGTAATAAAGTCCTTCTTTGTCTATGATGCAAACTCCTATATTTAACTCAATTATTAGAAAGGCAAGCCTGTGTAAGAACTGAGCTCAGCCTTGGGGGAATCTGGGAAGAGTGAGGTAATTAATAAGGCTTTGTGCCTGTCCCCAAGTGATGAGGGAATTCCTTCTGTGTATATGTTTGTCTGATTGGTATAAATAAAGCAATGTTGGCCAATAGGGAAGCAAGATAGGTGGGACTAGGAGTCGAGGAGAATTCTGGGAAATGTAGTCAAGAGTGGGGAGTTGTCATGTGATCTCCCGGGAGGAAAGGACCTGTCAGGAGGGCATCCTTGGCAAGATAAGTCCTTATAAAAATATATATTAGTAGTTACGGGTCAATAATTAAGTCAGAGCTAGCCGATAAGAAACCAAGCAAACGGCCAACAGATTCATAATTAATATAGTGTTTCCTCGTGTGTTTTTTTTGGGGCTGAGACAGCTGCAGGACCCAGGCGGCTGGTGGGAAAGAGTACAGGTTACACCCAAGAAACTGAGATATACAGCAGGGGAGGAAGAAGGAGAGAGAAAGAACTCAGAGACAAATGTATGGTAGGAAAATAGGAGCAGCGAAATGACCGCCAGTGCTTCAGGGCATCTTGCAGACCCAGGCAAAGACACCATCAGTCCCAGCATCCCGGCGGGCGGACTCCAAAGCCTGAAAGGCCAGTTGGCACTGTAGTGAAGTGAACCGAAGTTCGGAACAGGGGCTCTCCCAGCCTTGACACCGGAGAAAATCAGAGCACCGCCGCTGGAGTTTCTTTCCCGCCTGGTCCCACGCATATACACAGGGCATCCCCCATCAGAGCACTTTCATCCCTTAGGTGACCCTCCGAGAGTGAGAACACGGCATGCACGGCGTGCGGAGGGTTGAGAGCCGCAGAGACGAGACGGTTGTGCTCCAGGGAGGGGTGTGCTGCCCACGAGGGGCACTCTCGGTCTGCTGGGCTACGCTGAAACACCAGGGTATTATTCCTCACTGAACTCCACATCTGGGCTGCTCTTCACAGATCTGAAGGTCTACCCACCTGGGCCTTCCCCCTGTATTCATTGTCGTGATATCACTTCCTATTGTCTCACGCCAGCTGACCGGGCTCGCTTACACTACCTGTCGCCCCCACTCCCATAGCAGCTGCCCTTGTGTCCCTTGGCCCGGGACACCAAAGTTTTCAGACGACCGGAAACTCAATAGGTTCTGTGTTTAAGTCCAAGACTTAAGTCTCTCTCTCTCTCTCTCTCTCTCTCTCTCTCTCTCTCTCTCTCTCTCTCTCTCACTCTCTCTCTCTCTCTCTCTCTCTCTCTCTCTCTCTCTCTCTCTCTCTCAATCTGTCTCTCTCTCTCTCGTGTGTGTGTGCCTGTATGTTCTAGCTCATGTGTGATATGTTTGTGTACGTCTGCATGCAACCGTCTGTGGCGTCAGAAGTCGGTTTCCTGTGTCTCCCTCAATTTCTCTCCACCTTTATGTTTTTTACGGCAGAGTCTCTCACTGGCCTGGAACTCACCAAGTAGGCTAGGCTGGGTGGTCAACGAGCTCCAGCAATTTCTTTGTCTCCAGCTCCCAGCCCTGGGCTTACAGATGCACACCACCACACGTGCCTTTTTACCGGGCACTGGGGATCTTAATCCATATCATCTTGTTGGTGTGGCAAGTCCTTTTACTGACGGAGCCATCTCCCTGCCTGTCTTTGGAAACTTTCCTCCACAAGGGAACAATGCCAGTGGAAGCAAAGTCCTCCGCTGAGGGCTCAGACACAGAGCAGGGAGTCCTGCTTGTCCCAGACACAGTTCTGAGACTAACTCAGCTTGGCTGTTTCATCCACACAGCAGCCTTCCCCAAAGACACCAAGACATTAGTCTAAGCAAGCAACCCGTAGACAAAGAAGTCTGTGGAATATTTTCAGTAGACCAGGCCCAAACATTTCTCATTTAAAAAAAAATCAGAAATGCACCAAGTCTTTATTGAATTAGTTTATGCACAATTAGTCCAAGCAAACAAAACTTGCTTGTTTCTAAGAGATTAGGGTGTGGACATTAAAATGGCCCCCTCCGTCAGGACACTTTAGAGAAGATTATGGAGATGAGAAATGCGTTAATCCTTTTGTTATTTACATACATGAATTTTTGAATATTCAAAATTATTCCTCAGCTAATAATAACCTGAATTTTCATTATCTGGATAGACAGGGACTGATTACATGATGAGGAGAACCGGGTGCTGTGGGTTTTTAATGGAGGAGGTATTTTAAATTTTCACCGAGTAAATCCCACTCTGGATGGTGGAGGCTGGAAGCTTCCTACAGTGGCCAGCTGGCGATGAAGCAGCTTCCTTCCCCACGGTGAGGGAGAGTCTGGAATCAGGCTCTGGGCTGTCAAGCTCCACGTTCTGCCCCGACTATTAACTACCTGTCCTGAGGAGGTCACAAAACTTACCCATACCTCAGTTTCCCAGTTTGAAGGATGGATCCAATCAATAGTTCCTGAAGAAGGACACTGTGGAGATGCAGTCTAAGGAACAGTAGTGCTCATTAGGGGCTGGGGATGTAGCTGAGGCGTTGGGTGCTTGCCAGCACTACTGAAGCCTTGAAACTGTGGAAGAGGAGGAGAGGTCAGAAATGCAAGGTTATCTTTGGCTACACAGAGAATTCAAAACCAGCCTGGGATACAGTAAAGCCCATTTCAATAAAAACAGACCAACAAAGGCTTTCAATCACTTCTTTAAGCAAGATGCCCAGAGTTTTCATAGGAATCTGGGTCTTTCTTGATTTTTGTTGTTGTTGTTGGTGGTGGTGGTGGTGGTGGTGGTGGTGGTGGTGTTACTCCATACCTAAAAGAAGGAAGAAAACCTGTTTTTCCTCCTCTGGGGACATACAGATTTGTAAAGGGCAAGGGGTAATGTGAGACTAGCCTGAAGTGTCCAGAGGTGGCCACTTCTGGGGGGGGGGAGTGCAAGTTGCAGAGATAGCAATGCCAAGGGTTGATCTAGGCAGAGATGGTGAACACAGGATAACCAGAAACCAGATGAATTGGCATAGATGCCTCCCTCCCCCACGTGCCTGTCTGTAGTCAGAGCCTAGATTTCTCCCTCCCTCCCAAGCCTTCCCCTTCATCTGAGTGAAGCACAGAAAATACAAGAGCTGGTACTCAGTGCCTCCAGCTTCCCCAGAGGCGAGCTTCCTGAGGATGCTGAGGCGGACATGCCCAAGGTCATTCTTATCATGACAGCATTTTCGTACTGGGAAATAACCAATCAGATTAATATTTCAGTATTCACCCAACACTACACTTTGTAAGCTGGTATAAGTTAACCCTGAGGACAATCCCCCCCGACTTAAAAAAAAGAAATTAACAACAAGTATTCCATTCAGAAGCAAGCTTCAGTATTCCAATATTTTGGATTTATAGCCAAATGTGTATCCATTGGGGACATTAAATATTAATGATCTTGCCTGTGTTTGCATGACAGAGGTGAACAGAGTCTGGAGTTGAAATCTTAACAGGCCCCAACAGATGTGCCTGCTTACCTAATGATTCTATCCTCGCCTCTCTGTTAACCCCTAGACTCCTGGGCAGATCTGTGGGTGGGTTTTACGACTGATATAATTTGTGCAAGCTTAGAAAGGGTCCTTTTACTGCTGTGCAGCCCCTGCTTGGGAGGTACTGAAGCAGTCTGAATAAAGTGAAGACTTGATCAAAATGCATGCAAGGATGCCATGGAAAATCCTGGAAAATGGAGTTATCTCGGGACCAAATTAAGATGTCAGCCGCATCAGAGCACAGGCGCTCACTCCTTCCTGTGCCCGAGGAAGTCTTCCTGCTGGGCAAGGGCCAGGTACTCAGTAGCTAGACAGAGGCTGAGATGCTCGATGGCCTTCCAGGCAGAGGCAGGTGCCTCCGGAGACAATAAGCCACAATTAGCTACTGGAAGCCCAGTGAGTGGGGGTAGAGGTGAAAGTAGCCTAGCACTTGATTTTATGTAGCTTTCCCTTTGATATCTGAGAATCACGCTGATGATTACTGTGCTCCAATTCTGCAGAGCTTGATTGGCCTATTCACATAGAAATGATCTTGGGGGTGGGGAAGGCTTTGTACTCCTGTCCCACTGCGAGGGGCAGGCATGGGTTTTGGGCGCCTGGGTGGCCTCCTATATGGCATGGGGTTCTGGGAAAGGCATCTTCCTCAGGATGACTGAGGAATACAGAACAGAAACCTCTTACCTGGCTCTGCTGAGAGACTGACAGGGTAAATTCTTGTCACTTGCTAGGGACTCTGGAGAGCTCTGACATTTGCTTATGAGCCTTTCCCGACGGTGACTCTCACACTGAATGTTTGGAGCATCTGAGGTATGGCTACAGTGACATCCAGATGGACCTCAGTCTCTTCTTCTCTGTATTTAAATAAGTCGGGTTGCAAGACATAAGCTGATATCAAACCAGTGAGAGAACTTTCCCACATGCTCACTAGCAATTGATAGCCCTGAAAGGTGTTATACAGGCTGCTGGGGGTGGAAAGACATTGGGGGGGGTGTCTAACCTCATCACTGAACCCTGTGTGCTACAGTTACCAACCTGCCATGCAAGGTGTATTCATTGCTACAATAGGCCTGCGTTCAGCAAAGTGTAGCTCACAGGCCAAAGCCAGCTTTATGCTTTAAAAGGAAGGAGGAGGAGGAGGAGGGGGAGGAGGGGGAGGAGGAGGAGGAGGAGGAGGAGGAGGAGGAGGAGGAGGAGGAGGAGGTCCAGGGCTTGGTGGCACACCCTTGAAATCCTCAGGACTGGAAAATGTAAACCAAGATTGAGAGTTGGAACCTAGCCTGACCTACACAGTGAAACTTTGTTTCAAAAGGAAACTAAGTGAAGGGGGGAGAGGGAGGGGGAGGAAGGGAGGAGGTAGGGAAGGGGGAGGGAGGAGGGGAAGGTTTGCTTGCTGGCTTCTGCTCTGAGGCCCGATTTCTTCTGTCCTGGTGGAGTATACACAGTGCTGAGGAGAAGCACAGTGTAAGTAGGCTTCCCTTTCTCTTCTCTGGGGGTGGGGGGAGGGGGCTCCCTTTTCACATGTCCACTAGTTCCTTCCCCAGGAATCACAAGGCTCCTTTCATTCCTCTTTCACTTCTAACCCTCGTGTTCACAGAGGAAACTGAATTGTGCCCCCCACCCGTCATTCTCCCCCCCCCCCCAGTCTATAGCACACCGTGGTGCTGGTCCATGCTTGAATGTTTACATCTTATTCAAACACTTCATCAGCAGCCCTTTTCTCATTCTCCCATCCCCCTCCCCATTGCCAAGGAGGCTCTGCAGTATCTGGGATACGTGTACATTCTTGCCCAAAGAGGTGTTACAGGATGCACATCTGTACAGTTGATGTATGTTATAAGTTTGGGAGTTGAATACCTTTTCCAAAGGTCCACATGTTTAAAAACCTAGTCCCCGGCACCATTGTGGGGACGGTATGGAAACTTTCAGACTTGGACCCTAGTGAGAGGCTCCAAGTCTTCTGTCTTCGGGCCATAAGATAAGTGGTTTTGCCATATCATGTGTTCCCACCATGATACGCTGCCACGTAGCAGACCCCCAAGCAGTAGGGCTAATACTTCATGGAAGGGAGTCTCCAAAACTGTGGGCCAAAATAAACTTGTTCTCTGGGTGAGTTGATTATATCAGATATATTGTTTTAGTGATGGGAAGCTAACACAGTGAGCATGTATCTTTCAGTGTTGTGGGCAACCTTGTTTCAGTTCATGCCTTGCCATTGACAACTATGTTTCTAAAATTCATCTCTAGGTAATCATGGTGTCTCATGTCTGTAAACGTGGTACTCAGAAGGATTGCTTCAAGTCCAAGATCCACCTGGCTTAAAGAGTGAGATCAGAGGTCAGACACGGTAGGGGATGGCTTTCATCTCAGGACATTGGAGGCAGAGGCAGGCAGATCTTTGTTTGAGGCCAGCCTGGTCTACACAGTGAGTTTCAGTCCAGCCAGGACTACATAGTGAGACTGTATCAGAGAGGAGAGGAGAGACAGAGACAGACAGACAGACAGAGACAGAGACAGACTGCCTTTGTCTGAAAAAGCACACACACAAACACACGCGCACACACACACACACGGCTGGGGCTCAGAGATTAAGAACACAGACTGTTCTTCCAGAGGTCCTGAGTTCAATTCCCAGCAACCACATGGTAACTCACAACCACCTACAATGAGATCTGGTGCCCTCTTCTGACCTGCAGGAATGCATGCAGACATACATAGTAAATCAATCTTCTAAAGAAAAGTTCATCTGTGGTGCTCTGTGAAACTTGTCCGTTACTTATAATTCCTATTCAAAGCTTAGGCAAATGACATGGGGTCATTCTTGCAGAAGATGGGGATCTATAGTATATTAGCTGTCTGTAATATCAATAACATATTAAGTCCCCAGAAAAGAAAATCCATTTCTTTCCAAAGTCTGCCTTATAGAAATCACAATTCGATTTGCATTGGTCAGTAGGATCTCCTGGCTCTGTCTAAGCCACTGTGTCAAGCTTAATTTTGAGGCAGAGTGTCCATCTCCACTACCACCTCCTACAAGCTAATTTGGGACTAGCAATCATTCCCAACTGTACATTATTTCTGTTGGGTTTTCGGTGAAGACAGACTTTGGACTTCCTCATATGATGGAGTTTCATATAGGTTGATCTCTAAAAAGACAAGAAAGAGCACAAAGGAGTGTTAGTTGCCAGTTCAGCTCCATCTGGGTCCATCTGAAAACCCAACATCAAGCTTCTCACGGGAAGGCCCATTTGGCTGACGCAATTTCCCAGCACTTGGGGGCCAGAGGAGCAGGTGTTCAGTCTTTGGATATACACTAGACTTAAAGGAAGAGTACTCAACTTTGTGTTTATTATTCTTTCCAAATATTATCAACAGTCTCCTAGCCAAGGCTTTTAACCGTGGGTCTTTTGGGAATTCATGTTTTTCATGTTGCCTTATAAATTGTTTTCAACTGCCTTTGTCTCAACATTTGATAGTTTTCCAAATGAAGATAAGCAGCAAGTCATAGGCTAAACCAGAGCTACGCATGCCTGTTCATATTGGTGCTTGAGTTTTAATGATATTGATAAATGTTGGGATCCAAATAGAGATCCAGAAAGTTTGAACTAATCCTGTGTCCTCCCCTCCTAAAACTTTAGGGCACTTCAAGTTTATCTTTGGGGTAATGCCTTGAGAGGAAAACTCAGTCATGAGCTAAGAGGACTTCTCATCCACTGCAGGGTGGGATGGGGCAGTCTAATTGACTGTTCTATGGGGTTAAAGCTTGCCCTGCTCAGTCCTCAGGTGGACTGAGCCTCAATGGAGGAACTACCCAGATTAGATCAGCCCATGGCCATGTCTGTAGAAGTTGATAAATGATGTAGGAAGGCCCCAATGTGGGCAATGATATTCCTCGGGGAGGTGGTCTGGCTGATTAAGAAAGCTAGCTAGGCTCAAGCCTGTGCATTCCTTCATGGTTTCTGCTTCTAGTTCTTGATTGCTTGAATTCATGCCAACTTACCTCAATGACGAACTGTGGCCTGGAAGTATAAGCCAAATAAGTTCTTTCCTCTTCTAAGCTGCTTTTGTACAGTGTTTTATCTAAGCAGCAGGAAAGGAGCTGGGACCAGGTTCTGCAGAGGATAGCAGGTGATAAGAGATGCAGGGTGGGAACCCCAGTCCCCTAAGTTGCCCCTAGAGGCTCAGACCAAGGCCGTGGCAATTCTACTAATTGTGTTCCTGATGGACCAAAATTCACAGTTTTGCTTTTTTCCAATCAATACCTCATTCAACTCTATTTCCTGAACTTAAAAATGATATAGAGGACCTAGAATTCAGATCACGGCCACTTTTTAGCCTGACTGATGACTCATCTCCTCACCTCCAAAATGCACAGAAAAACCAAGGTACCTGAGCCACCACATTTTCTTGCTGCTCTGACTGTGACTTCAAGCCAGCCCACCGAGCACCGTAGACAAACAAGCAAGCTTTCCAATTTACAGTGGACAGGTTAAGAAAAGCCTCTCTGAAATTTAATCTGGGCAAAGCAGTTCCTCTATCTAGCTAAAGACATTGCACACTAATTAAATCCAACTGCCCATCAAGATTAAAGCAAGAAATTTCATGGAAGGAGAAAAAAAACAATCTTCAATGATGCAGAATGCATAAGATATAATAACGTTCATTAAAGAATATTTAGGGTAAACTTGGAGTCGTGAAGATTTTTCACGCAAGGCCATCTTATTAATCCTAATAAGATTTGTAGCGGCAAGAATGGCAACACACCCTGTGCAAGGGAAGGCTTCAGTCCCCCTGGCAGAAGCAAGCACGGTTCAAACACCTCAGCCCAGACTTCTGCTTCCAGTTGCTCTGCTAAAGTTTCTCTTCCTCTCTGCCTCCCTGCCAGCGCGCAGACCGAGTTAACCCGATGTCTGCACATCTCCTCAGGTTGTTTAATCAACTGCCTGTCAACTCCTTACCACATTCAAAAGTCACAAAGTATCAGAAGCTCTAGAAAACAAAGCATCGACACCTCATCACAGTGAGGAACCAAGAGCCTTAGAGCCCTCTTTGTTTTCTCTTTGTGCTGACTTGAGCATAGGGTTTCCCACACCCCAGGCAAGCACTCTGCCGGAGCTACATCCCCAATTATCTTTTCTTTTTACTTATTTGAGGCAGGGTCTCATTCAGTCGCAAACTGGCCTTGACTTGCCATCCTCCTGCCCCAGCCTCCTAAATATCTGGGATTCTAGGCCCGGACCACCAAGTCCAGGACACACATGATGACTTAAAAACAACCCTGTAGCTTCAGTTCCAGAAGATTGGATACCCTCTTCTGACCTCTGAGGGTTTCTGGGGGGTGGGGGTGGGGTATATAGAACCTTTAAGTGGTATGGCCTCGGTGGAGAAAGTGTGTCACAGGGGACAGGATTTAAGAAGCTAGAGTCCTGTTCCACTTCCCGTCTATCCCTGTTTCCTGTGCGCCGCTGAGAAGTGATCTCTCAGCTCCCTGCTCCTGCCACCATGCCTCCCCAATGTTATGGATATCTAGCTCTATGGAATGGTAAGCCAAAAATAAACCCTTCCTTAAGTTGCCTTTGCCCGTGGAAGATTATCCAGCATCAGTTTCCAAAGGACCGGCCTAGGCTGGCAGGGAGCATGAGGGAAGACAAGTCCTGTGTGCCGTTGTGCCCAATGACACTTCTATAAGCCACTAAGCTGTCCTGTTCTTCTTTCTCCCTCTGCACTCTGCTAAATTTCCACCTAGAGCCCTTTGGTTTTATTTTTGTTTGTTTGTTTTTTCTGAACTCTGTATAGAAAAATGAAGTATGCCACAGAAGTCCCTAGACAATGAATGGTTAATATAGGGTGGGGA